CTTAGAAGACTTAGTGTATTTCCACGCTAAATAGCTATGGAGATGCGTTGACCAAAATATAGAACAGCCTTATGGTCCCCAGACGTGTCCACCAGGCGTGATATCTTTAACTATGTGTGTATATATATATATATATATGTTATAAATTCAACTTTTTAAATCGTTGCAAGAAAATTCTCCCTCAGATTTTTAATATCACAACCAACTGCTTATTCTACACCGTGGAGCGTGCAAATAAATATAAATAAACAAATTTCCTGCGTCGGTTTATTTTTCTTTTTCTGCTACGGAAATTGCAAACGGGCTGGCATACCATCTGATAGGACGCGGTAACCTAGAGACGTGAACAACACAATGATTCGAGTTTTTGGCGATTCAATTCCTAGTCTACATTTCTGAATTAGACCTTATCATTAGTATTTTACACAATTCTTCTGTTACAAAAATAATCAAATAAACAATTTCTAAAAAGATAGATAGATAGATAATTTACTTACATTACTTACAGCACACAAATTACAATAAAAAAAAACATACACATAATACACAATAAAAGAGATAAAAGAATGAAAATAAAAAACCACAAAACAAAAAAAAAAAAAAAACAAAAAGACAAAATATATAAACTAACAATTTCCTTTCTTTCCCTTCCTCCATGCGTGTGCCGCAGTAACACAAAATGGTCACAACTCAGTTTATTGCTTTGCCCTCAAAAGAGCAAAACACTGATATTTTGTTGTGGCTAAGAGTCATGGAAACTTCTAGATGAAGTGTCACGATAAGCATATGCCAGATTTTAATTTAGACCCTCAAGAACACAACTGTGAGAATTGCATCCAATTTGGTATAACAATATGGTCTTCCCAAGAGGCTACAGTGTGGGGTTCTTCAAAAGAGGGTAAAGAGGTTTCTTCAGGGTCGGCGAAGCGCGCGTAATAAGGCAGGCGTTAATAGGCTACGGTAACCGCTTACCATCAGGTGGACCGTATGCTTGTTTGCCACCTCAGTGGTATAAAAAAAAACTATTTTTAGCAAAAAAAACTATTTGTAACAAACATACAGACATTGTCTATTGGACTTTTCATGGACTGGCTGAAAACCAGCGCTGTGCAGCTGTTCACACTGCGCTGGGACACTCACAGCATCAGCTGAGCCGGTTCCTTTGGCCTAGTGTGGGACACTTTTTGTATATGTTATTTATATTTTATATTGTAATTGTATGTTTACTGGCAATAAATGTTTCTATTCTATTCTCTTATTATTTTTTCTCAAATGTCTCCCATGTACTGATATGGATTACCAATGATTTTTTCTACCCAAAGGCAGCCTGGATAAAGCATTATCCAAACTATTATCTAGTATAAAAGCGGACTAATATAATAGATAATAATAGAAAATTAGAATGAATTAAATGCGTGAATAGATGCCAAAATATTTTTTTTAGGAATTTAGTCTGTCTATTTGTATGTTTGTACCGTTTTATCAAATTGAATGCTGCTTTCACAATTATGTTACTGAAGATCTAACCTAAGATGTGGGGGAAGGGGATTGTTAGCAATGGAGTTTGACAGCCCTATTGCTAGCAATATGACCTATTAGGTCAACATCCACGTATTTCCCCCTGGAAACCACCGTGAACAATTCTCGTTGAATTCGTCACGATAGGCTAACCGACCTGCTTCATCCTCACCTATCATGCTTCACTGGTGCCCCGCCGGTGTATACCGATAGCGCGGGTAGGATTACTATTTCATTATCATCCATTAAAAAAAAACCTAAGATGTGGTGTTTGTTTTATCTAGATACTTAATCTATATTAGGTCTATTTAATTTGAAATCTACGCGTTCGAAGCAACGGGCAAAAAGTTAGTTTAAAAATAAACTTCATAATCTCATAAGAATAGAATTGAACAAATTCAACCCTAATTGCTTAAATAAGTTGATTTTACAATTCTCTGACACATTTCAGATGTTGACAAAAAGTTTTATTGCTGTTAAAAGCACCATTTACGAAGACACCCTCGTGGGCGAATGGCCGTTAAAAAATATTATATAATTTAATTAAACGTGTCAAGTAATTTGAGAGCTCGCACCGCAAAAAAATTAGATTTCGCCCTCGAATTAATTTTAAATCGTCCCCAAATTAATATAGAATGGACAATCTTCTTGCCACCTATCACACCATAGTGATAAATATGTTTTCTTGGAATGAAAGAATGATTAAATGTATGGGTGGGTGGAAGAAACTCAACTTCATTTCAGTTATCCATAACTTTCGTCATTATCATATCAACCTTTAATTGTCCATTGCTGGACATAAGCCTTCCCCTTTGGGAAAAGGACAGGGAGCGTTGCCAATAGTTGCCACGCTTAGCAGGCTGATTGGCAACCGTCATTAGGCTTTTAAAGATGTTTTAAGAGGGACGCTGCTGTTCCCATCCCTAACCTTACCTTAGTCGCCTCTTACGACATCCACAGGAAAGGAAATGGTGGCCTATTCTATGCCGGGACCACACGGCTACATACACTTAAAATATAAAAACGAGTCTTCTTCTTTTCATTTAAGAGTTTCCTCTTGTCGGTGCAACTAATTCATGCATCTTTTTCCAACCAGCTCTATCCCAGGCCATATCCTTGACCTCCCTATACGACATGACACCTAGTGTTTCTTTTATCTGTCCCATATCTGTAGCTTAAAAACGAGTACCTTAACAAAAATTTACAGATATTATTACATCGAACCGCGAAGGTCAGTCGAATTTGGGAGAGTGTGGATAAAAAAGATGCTATTGGTACAAGATCTGATGATCTATTTGATGGAAAGTCGCCTACAGATGTAGAGATCACAAAATATATGGTAATGTCCATGCTACCTCTCATGCATTGCTGTTCCTAATCCTGAACTTAGACATTCATAGCCTGAACTTCACTTTCAAAAGTACTCACATAAGCATGTATGAAGGTGGCTGAAGCAAGATTGTATACACCAAGTATGTAGGACCAGAGATATTTGATACTCTATTCATTCCGTCTATCCCAAAAGTTACCTATTTTAAAAATAGAGTACAAATTTTTATTTAAAGAGAACTAATTGTGTTATCAGGAAGATGGAATTGTTTAATAAAAAAGAAAAAATAGAAAACTGAAATCTTTTTATAATAAATTCTAATGAACAGGTTATAGAAATATCTACAAAGATACGTATATTTATATTAATATTATAAATGTTTTCAATATTGGACTGTTAGTGGATAAATTCAAAAATTACTCAATTGTTTTTAAAAATTCTTTCACATATAGAAAGCTATATTATTAGCGAGTTAAATAAGCTTATATATTATTTTAGAAAATTTCTATTCATTCGGGCAAAGCGGGGTGTGATTACTACTTATTTATATAATCTAAATTACGCGACTGTGTGATTACATGCCGCCTTAATTTGTAATTCGAAGTTCGTTTGAGGTTACGAAGGTCTTTATTTGGGTACGAACCTACATTAAGAGGGACCATCAAATGTCCTTTTCATGCCAAAACGGTCCACACTTGTGATGGGAAATAATTAGGCCTTGTTTGTGGGTCGGCCTTTGTTTTATATGACGTACTATTCTAATTTTGTTCGGATATTTCGGATTTGATTAGGGAAACGGCCGGCACGGTGTGATTGCGGTGGGATTTGGGTGCGTCTGTAACTTGTTTGTTGGAAATTAACATGTTAATAGTTTAATTTGCCATCTATAAAGTACAGGTTAAAAATCTATGTGCGTTCCTTAATTGTAACTAAATAATACTTGCTTGGATTATATACTGTAGATAGAGCATCCAGCTTCAAAAATAGCTCAACTTTTTGTCAGCTAATTGTCAAATTAGCTGACTCGTTTTTTATCAGTGTTCTATATACTTGGAATATATTCTATATATATGGAGTCAACTTCCAGCAGCAGTATTTCCGAACCAATACGACAACATAACCTTAAAGAAAAGAGTATATTCCTTTTTGAAAGGCCGGCGGCACACCCGCAATGCCGCTGGTGTTGTGGGTGATCATGGGCGGCGGTAGTCACTTACCATCAGGTGAGCCGCACGCTCGGTTGCCCCCCGTGTTGGAAAAAAAAATACTTACGCATACAATACACCTTGACGTTTTATTTAAATAAAAATATATAGAAATTATAAGACAAAATAAATATAGAAGTAAACAATATAATATAGAAATATAATAGAATCACTTTGGAACTTGAATCACTAAGAATACTTGATTAAATAACTAAGACGCTTTAGTTTGTTCTGTGGCTTGTACAACAGATTGTGCTCAGAGGAATTGTTCACAATGATGCCCACGGCCACTTTCTACCATCGTATAGCTCGCCATCGTTAGGGAGTTCACTCCCATGCCTTAGGATCTAGACGGTCGCGTACAGGGCGATTTCAGAGATGTTTTCTCCCAAGAAAGTTCAGGTCATAGAATGAGCTCCCTATCAAGGTTTTTTTTTCAAGAGACTACAGCATCGGGTTCTTCAAAGGGGTAATGCCCCTTATATTGCAGGCATTCACAGGCTACGGTACTGCTTACCATTAGGGGGACCGTATGCTTGTTTATCAACTCAGTGATATAAAAAAATAGACTATTTCATTGGTTTTACTATTTCTGAAATCCACACATACGAAGTAGCGAGCAGAAAGCTAGTAATACATACATACATACATATCTGTGACGTCTGTCTCCCATAAAGGTAGGCAGAAACAATGGAACGACAAATACTTCGATTCAAACCACTTTAGCTTTTCATACATTACATACATTCATACAGATAGTAATGAGTAGGTAAATATATATATATATATATATATATATATATATATATATATATATATATATATATATATATATATATATATATATATATATATATATATATCGTGACAGGAATCACTATCACAGGGCGTCATAATCTCTTATTAAATGAGATTTGTTATTAATAAATAATATTTAATTGTTTCAGATAACTGAGTCGAGTGTGGAATGAAATGTGAGTAATTGCTTTTTTTTTATTTTGTTTACAAAGTTTACAAAGAAAACTAGCCACTTCTTTGTTTTTTGGCGTGCATTAAATATGGTTACAAAAAAAAACAGCTATCTAAACGACCTTACATATTCTTAGACATATTCTTACTATATTTTAATGTAATAACTACCACTTTTAACTTACGTGTAATTTTTTTTATGCAACTTAGAATGGCAAACAAGCTGACGGCCCACCTGATAGAAAGTGATAACCGTCGCCTATAGACACGAGCGGTACCATGGACACAACAGAGTATACTGTTTCACCCATGATACCCCCCATGCGTTGCCATTCCTGAGGACTCAGGTGTTATTCCTCTGTACCCTGTAAATTCACTGCCATATCACATCTTTCAAACCGAAACACAGCCATGCAAACACAACTGCTTCACGGTAGAAACACGAATGGGGCAGAGGTGCCCAAGCAAACGACTTTTTTACAAAGTCTCCCTGTGCTAGATTATTAGATAAAGAAAGCTCAGATTCACACTCGCATTGCAACGTCTCATGATTGTCTCATGATGAAAGGTCTCGAATTGTTCTCGAAACTAATACATTACACTGAAATAATAATAATTGAAATAATACCAGAGGGAGACTTTGTACAAAAGTCGATTGTTTGGGTACCTCTGTCCCATTCGTGTTTCAACCGTGAAGCAGTTGTGTTTGCATGGCTGTTTCGGTTTGAAGGGTGGGATACGGCGTGAATTTACTGGGTACAGAGGAATAACACCTGAGTCCTCAGGAATGGCAACGCATGGAGGGTATTATGGGCGAAACAGTATACTCTGTTATGTCCATGGTACTGCTTATGTCTATAGGCGACGGTTACCACTTTCCATCAGGTGGGCCGTTAGCTTGTTTGCATTCTAAGTTGTATATAAAAAAAAATATATTTATGAAATTTTTAACAATATAATCTCTTATTATACACAAAATCATCATTGTCAGACATAACAAAGATTTAAAACGTCGCAATCAAATTCCACGTAAAAAGTTTTTAATGGCCAGATAACGTATTTTGGGGAAGCGGAGATTAGGAATGACAGTAAGAGGTCCGTAAAAACCGGTTAATAAAACTGATAAGAGACCGACTTAAATTGTAAAGTTATTTCAAAACAATGAAGATAATTTGGTTGTTTTACAAAATATACCATAACGTTCATTTTGTAAAACATATAACTATACCATAGTGGAATAAATTTGTTGTTATGGCTATTATTAAAAGATAAGAGGGAGACTTTGTACAAAAGTCGATTGCCTGGGTACCTCTGTCCCATTCGTGTTTCAACCGTGAAGCAATTGTGTTTGCATGGCTGTGTTTCGGTTTGAAGGATGGGATATCGTGTAAACACAGCTATGCAAACACAGCTGCTTCACAGTTAAAACTCGAATGGACAGAGGTACCCAAGCAATCGACTTTTGTACAAAGTCTCCCTCTGGTAATGCACTGTCTAATAACATATGTACCTGTTTAATGTTATATGCACCTGTCTAACGACATATGTATCCATCCAATATCATCTGTACTTGTCTAATGATATATGTGTCTGTCTAATAACATATGTACCTATCTAATGACATATGTACCTATCTAATGTCATATGCACCTGTCTAACGACATATGTATCCATCCAATATCATCTGTACTTGTCTAATGATATATGTGTCTGTCTAATAACATATGTACCTATCTAATGACATATGTACCTATCTAATGTCATATGCACCTGTCTAACGACATATGTATCCATCCAATATCATCTGTACTTGTCTAATGATATATGTGTCTGTCTAATAACATATGTACCTGTCTAATGACATATATGCCTATCTAATAACTAAAACACAATATATGGCGTATCGTGTACGTAACTTGGACACGACTAATTATTATTTCAACTGAATTCTCAGGTTTCATTAGCTGAGCGTTGAATTTTTAATGATGACGTCACAAACCGTGTCACGCTGCTGAGGTCTCATAACGGAAGGTGTCCCCTCACCGTTGAATTATTTAGCGAGGGCGTGAATTTAGAGGGATTTTAAATGGGTTTCTCATATTGTATTATAATACACTTGTGTTTAGTGAAACACTTATATATTATGTGTGTGTGTGTGTGTGTATAATTGTATAGAAAATGTACAATATGCAATTAGTAGAATAAAATTGTTAAGACATAAAAGTCTATGTACGTCGGGCGTTTTTTTTTTTTTGAAAAATTCGATAGAGATGGTTAAAAAAAACTACCCCTGGATAAGATAGCAGTAAGTAAAGGCAATGATGGAAGATAAAAGAAAAAGAATAAATTTTGGTTATTAAAAAAATTCAATCAAAATTTTTATTTTATTTATTTATTTATACTTGTACAAAGGTGTACAAATAGTAATTAGCACTTATAATTATTACAATGAGTTAAAATAACTTATAGTACCCACACACTTAGGTACACAAGAAACAGGGTAATACTAAATCCGAATGTAAGGTACTTAGGTATCTCTTATTATTGACTTAACATATCTAAGTAGCAAACAGAACAAGAGCTTACAATTATACTAAACTAATTTCAAGTTTATATAAATTTTGATTATTAAAAAGGGCTGAGGACTTTCTTCTACCCGTCGTATTAGTAGTTTTGCTCTTTTATTAGATATACGAAAGAAGGAAATTGTTGATTTATATATTTTGCTTTTTTTTGTTGTTTTTTTTTTTTTATTCTTTTATCTCTTTTTACTGTTTTTTTTATACGACATAGAATGGCAAACAAGCTGACGGCCCACCTGATAGAAATTGGTAACCGTCGCCTATAGACATGAGCAGTACTATGGACATAACAGTATACACACATACTGTTTCGCCCATAATACCCCCCATGCGTTGCCATTCCTGAGGAATCAGGTGTTTTTCCTCTGTACCCTGTAAATTCACGCCATATCCCACCCTTCAAACACAACTGCTTCACGGTAGAAACACGAATGGGACAGAGGTATTCAAGCATTCGAGTTTTGTACAAAGTCTCCCTCTGGTAATTTATGTTTATGTCTATATTATGTGTATGTTTGTATTTGTGTGCTGTAAGTAATGCAAATAAATTATCTACGTATCTATCTAAATCACTTGGCCGTGATACAGTATTTTATACCTCACTTGACTAACCGACCTAACTGACCTGCTTTTTCACCTTCACCTATCATCTCTCACTGGTGCCCCGCCAGTGTATACCGATAGCATAGGCGCGGTCATCATTCCATTATCATCCATAAAAAAAATCTGTATTATAAGTGAATGTACAAAAGCATATAAATAAATAAATAAATAAATAAATAAATAAATAAAATAATAATTATTAATTATTGTTAACATTTTACAATAAGCTAACATTTCGATTCTATTCAAATCCTGTATTTAATCGCCCGCAAATAAATTGAAAATAACAATTTGGTGGTTAGTAAACGGTTATTTTCAGTAAACGTGGTCAGTTTAGTTTAAGTATTATTGGTCCTGAAATAAATTAGGCCATTTACTGTAAACTAACACGATCGTTTTATTTTTGTGTAAAGTAAATAGGTAAGCTCAAAAGAGAATTATGATTCAAGAGTTAAATTTGTTTATTTATTTATTTCACTCTTTATTGCATCAGAAACATAAAAATAAATAATGACATATAAAGAATTCAAGGCGTCTAGAATTCAAGAAGTCAAGAATTCTAGGCTACTCCTTTCGTTCCCGTGGGTGTCGTAAGAGTCGACTAAGGGAGCTTATGGTGGACGGGTAGTCAGTAGCGTCCCTCTTAAAATATAATTAAAAGCCAAACTGCAGTTGCCAACCCGCCTGCCAAGTATGGCAACTACTACCAAAATCCCTCTTATGGGGCTGATATAACAAAGAATTCAAGTGAAATACAGTAGCATAAAGCACAGATTAAAATATATACATTAAGATACAAAAGGCGGTCTTATCGCTAAGGCAATCTCTTACAGACAATCTTATTTAATTTACCTAATTTTTAAAACTTAACTTTATGGAATTGCATTCCGCAAAACAAAAAAAAAACACATCAATCGTGACAAAAATTAATTATTTTGATTTAAAAAACCCCACATATTTTGATTTACGAATTAAATTACTGAAAAAAAAATAATAAAGTTTCTTTGAGACTAATTTAAAAGTGTATCCTTTCAGATAAAAAAGAATTTTCTATATTAGACAGATTCATTAAGTAATAAACATAAAAAAGCCCACGGTATTGAGAACTGTATCCTTTTTTTTGAAGCCAACTATGAAAACTATGGTAAATTTTCATACAATTTAAATTATGTATTTGTAGTTGCGTCATCTCTTCTCATATAAGTCCATGGTTCCATAGGTCAACAGGTCCGAATACTTTAACTTTTAAACTTTCCGTTGTGTTACTTTTAAATATAAATTCAATAATTTATATTTAACAGTAATACTTAACTGATAATAATGACGTTATAATGTTCAAGTGAAAGTGTACTCCTGTGAAGCATATCTCTTACTTAAAATAACTTAAGATATTAAACACACGTGACCTTTCCACAAAATACACTTAAGTGACATATTTTAGAATTACTCAATGTATTATTAAGTTATGACTCGGCATGTTTATACAATTTTAATCCGTGTTATTGGGAAATATCACTTAACTATTTCGTTTAGTGGCTTTAAAACTTACTGTAGGTCTTGCACCCGCAGTAAGTTTTAAAGCCACTCTCACGAAATTGTTCTTATATATTTAATTTCTCCTCAAGTTGTTACATTTTACTACCTTTTGTGAAAAGAACTTTACCAGAGGGAGATTTTGTGCAAAAGTCTTTTGCTTGGGTACCTCTGTCCCATTCGTGTTTCTAACGTGAAGCAGTTGTGTTTGCATGGCTGTGTTTCGGTTTGAAGGGTGGGGTATGGCAGTGAATTTACAAGGTACAGAGGAATAACACCTGAGTCCT